AACCTTGCCACGCAAAACCAACACACCTACTTACTTCTCTGAACAGCTGTTCTTATTCTCTTTGTGGGCATTTTAACATTAGGCAGTTAACTGTAGATGGGTGTAATAATCGTAAATGCCACACATCTTGGTTTTTTACACATAGCTTAACCGCATAACAGAAATTGTTGATGCTAGTAGTTTTGACAACGAAGGACAGGTTATGTGGGCCTTCTGGTATTTGGATAGACAAACACTGAGAGACTATATGTGATTCATAAATCTCTGTCATTATATCTTTTATAGCCATAATTTTGCACTACAAAAGTACAGGAGTAGCTAAAAAAAAAGTTTGAGTAGGGGATGTCATTTTTTGTTTGGTAACCCTGAGAGAAGAAAACAATAGTTGCCCACTTTTCAGGACAGTAATAGACTGCTGGCAGTGAATAATTTTGCCATTGACTTACGTGTTTGCACTTATACAACCTAAAAATGCATTTTTCTTTTTTAAAAAAAAAGACCTGAAATCCTAGCATTCTGTGTTCTTGAAGTAAATATATACCTTTGGCTCTGTTTATTTCTCACATTGAGCTCTGAAGTTTTCTTTGAGCTCTATAGGCCTGTAGAAGGTATCTTACTGTTTTCCCAGGAGTACGTATTCTAGTGAAGACATCTGGGGTTTTACTTTGAAATTCAGTATTTCTATTGAATAGCTCTGTATTCCTCACTGATGTTATCCTTCTTTGCAAATAGTTCCTTACATATGAAAATAGCTTGGTGCTTAGGTATATAGTAGCTGGGAGTAAGGCCTCTTTGAAGTGGTAAGTAGAAGCTAGAGAAGTACAGTTCATGGATTGCTGGTGATAACTTTTGCCCTGCCATAGCTAGTTTCCCTCCCTCTCCCCATAATATAGAAATGCTGTGATCTTTTACATATATTCTGTACTCTTGTGAAAAGACAGTAGCAGTTATAGGAGTCTAAGTGTTAAAGCAAACCGTTATTAACATTATTACAGTATCTGGCAGAGTAATATGCAGCAGCATTTATCTATGAATTTTAATGCTCAGGAAGACCTTGCTGAAAAAAAGTATTTCCAGATGAAAATACATCTACTTTAATTAACTTTTCAGGAGAAAAATGAAATTGCTTTTGTTATGGTGAGTCTTCATTATCATCAACTTCTTGAGAGAAGCACTTTGGGTTCTGCTACTCTGTAAGTGTTCGTTTCTCCTTTGTGGGCAATAAAGATAACCTTTTGAATAAAGCTTTGAGTTTTACAGTTAAAATTGGCTGCTGTTAAGAGGTTTATATTTAGGCAGTAATTAACTATTTGAGTTTAATACAAACAACAGTTACGGTAACTATATGCAAAGCTGTAGAAGTATTTTCATACTAAAATGTTGCTATTGTTATGCTATTAAGGAGATAATTTAGTCACACAAGTGTACTAGTACTTACTGTATTGAGAAAGTTAGAAATACACTGCCCATGCTTTCTCCCTTTTTACAAGAAGTCTTTTTATTCCTTCTTCCTATCTGAAAGACCTAGAAAAGAGGGAGACATTTTACAAAGTAGGAAAATAATCTTTAGCTGTGTAAGAGGGGAGAAAGAAATTCTAGTAAACTGATAAGGTGCCTGCATTTATCTTTCAGTCCTATGGAAAAACTAGCTGGATTTCCTATGAAGTTTTTGTGTATGTGTGTTTATTGCAGTGTATACCTGTTTATACACTGCAAACTGTTTAAAAAGATGGAGTTTTTTAGCTTTAGAGGATGATTTCGTGGACTTACTTCCCCTCCCCAGCCCACCACTTCAGCTTTCTGCTCAGATACTGTTGTATCTACTGGTAGTCTTACGTGCCCGCTATCGCTTAGTATAGCTCTTTTCACTCAGAAGGTAAGACCTAATGCCATCTCCCTTACTACCAAATAGGATCCTACGTAGGAGCTGCTCAGTTGCCTCTGGGACTTGGGCTCTTCTGGTCATTTGTGTGCAGTAGTTTCTGTTTTAGGTTAGGCACAGCCAAAATTATTCAATAACTGCTATTCTAGAGAAATCTGTAGTAGTTGGCTTTTAGAGTTGTAGTTAAGCTGATGCATTTTTTTTTTTTTATTTTTGCATAAACAGGTCCAAATTTTGGAGTTTAACAGATGTACCTTTTAAAGTTGACTGCCATATTTTCTGTCTTTGGCTAGACTGGACAGCTGATTAGAAGAATTAGACACTGTAGTAGACAGCCTAAAAGAAGTATGATGAACTAGAGCTGTTTGATTTTTAAAAGCAGTAATAAAGAAGAAAAGTATTATCTTCTAATAATTCTTCCCCCTCTTATAACCTCTCTTAAGATTATAGTCTCAGTGTGGGGCTGTTTAATATATCTCTTTCTATTAAGTCATTCCCCCTTGCTTGTTTCTATTACTATTATTTTTTCTTTTTAAGTCAATATGCCCTTCCACCTAATAAACCCTTACTGGATGATGTTGACCCAGAATATGGACTGCATGACTACAATCTGCATCTTGATATGCACGGTGGAAGCTGCACCTACCTGTGTGGAACATTCAAGAACCTCTTCTGCAGAAAAGGTAGAGTTGACAGAACAGTAATTTCTGTTTTTAAAATGATCCCTGCTGTTATGTTTTGCCTCTTCTATTCAATATCTCTGTTTTAAGGGGAGAAACTGAAATGGATTTTTAAGAGTAAGCTATGTCCATTGTGTGATTTCTTTATATCTGCATGGTGCATTGTGTGGTGCTCTAGATGAAGTTTGCCTGCTTTTACATTGACATAGTGTTTGGCCTGAGATACAAGTACTGCAGATTGTCAGGATATTTTCGTTTGGTTCAGTGCTGAGTTACTAATGCAGTGGCACAGCTTCTGGTGCAGGTATCTGATGTTCCTTCCACTTGTATACTGTTCGGGAAAGTGAATTTGTTTGTATACATTTTGGGGACCTATTTCTGTAGAATTCTTCTGAAGGATACTTTAGGTGCATTGACAGATTTATAGCTTTTATTTAGGTGAACTTAAGGTTGCCTATTCTGACACCCTTTCATTGTGTAATGAACAGTGATTGTTTTTAACTGTACTGCTTTTTTCAGTTCTTAGCATTTCTTTTAATGAGGCATAATTAGCCATCCTTGTTGTTCATGTATAGCCCAACTTGGTAATTCTGCTTGATAAAATATACGGGTGATCTCTCTTTTGACTTAACTTCAACACACCCCTGCCTACAGCTACACAGCTGTCTTTCTGTCAGCAGAGACATACTAGAATAAATATTAAACACTGTAAATTAATTATTGCTTCCCACTATTTTTCTGATAAGTACTAATGAGCCTTCTGTTGATTTCAGAAAAAACTGGTTTTGGTGAAGACAGTAGAGGGCACTGTTACCAGGCTTGAGTGCTTTTACAGTAGTAGAATAAATTTCCCCGTGACTTTTTTTTTTTAATTTGTATTTGATGGCTCCAAGTACTGTCATTTAGACTGTAGGCTTGTGCACAGTGTGGTGTAGTCCTTTGAATTTGAAACATACGTGTTTTCAGATTCCTGAAAAGCACTAAACTTGAAATAGAGGAATACTTATAAGGGTAAAACTTCAGTGAAATTCTGTCCACGTAGCAATAGAAATCTTTCCTGAGGTGTTGTTTAATACAGAAGTCCTCTTTATACCCTAAAAAAAAAAAAAAAATTCTTCTGTAAATTGGCCAGAGGCTTGAGTTTTGGGGTCTTTTTGAGGTAAATGTCATGTTTTGTTTTCTAAAATGAAAATTTTATGCTCCTAGCAATACAGCTGTACCAGAGAAAGCAGTATGCGGCACACTTGTCTTTGTTGGTGTCCCATGCTGCTTAGAAGCTACTTCTGTTAAAGATTAAGCTGATGTTTATGCAAATTGTAGCAAATGTCCAGGAGCTGCAGTTGTGATGCCATCTCACTTTGATAGTTAGAGAATCTGTTTTATGATCACGACTGTTTTCCGAACTGTTTCGGTTTTGTGTCCTTTAGCTGTGTGACAGCCGCTGGATTCTGCTCTCACAGGACATCAGCCAGCTGAAGCCATGGTTCTGTAGGCAATAAGCTTATTGCTCATCTAGTCCCTTCCATGTATTTGCACAGTAATTCCTTTTGGAAAATGCTTGATTTCCTCCATAATTTCTGATAAAAAATTATATAGTGAGGCAGCTTATGGCTGTCTGCTGTCACATACCTTCACAGAAATTTGTCGTTCACTTTGCTCTTTCTGGTAAACATGGTGTTTCTGAATGTGGCCATCAGTGCGGGTTTGTCCGGAGCTGGTTGTATTCGATGGTTTGTGCTTTTTTTGGCTCCATTCTAACAATGCTCTTTGTCCCATTCTGTGGGAGGGCTCTGAAGCACGGAGGTCTGCGATATAGTGAGAAGTCTTGCTATTTCTTAAAATTCTCTACCCAGTCCAGATTTATTTTAAATTATGGATGTGACATACCAATGGCAGTTTCCACAGCCTGAGACACAGATCAGTTGTCAGCTTTTATACTGGGGTTTTACTTATTTATTTGTTTCTGTTAGGAAGCTCTAGACACTCCTAGGTTACCAGGGAATGCTCATTTGTTATTCTGCAGAATAACTGATTTATTTGTTCACGTTTAGTTTTATTTTTGTCTGCTTTTTGTTAGTGTTCATTATTGTTGTGCTTCATTTTGCTGCTCTGTTTTCAATTCTTTCTGCAAAATTCTTAACATTAAATTAAAAAAGTTATATCACACTTCATTGAACCTAGTGGATGGAGTATATATGGCTTCAGATCTCTTTTTTTTTTTTTCCTGTTATTAATACTTGCACTGCAGTAGCTAGCTGTTTTGCCATCCTGTTTTGGCTTTTTTTTTTAGCATTTTATTTTATGCTTCCTTCCATTTAAGCAGAATTGGTAATACGTTCTTCTTGACAGATACTGTAGGGTGACTATGCTAAATAATTTCAAATTGATTTGAATGTATAGGAAAACTTTTCTTGTTTTCAGGAAGCTGTGACAGGCTTTTCATATGACTCATAGAAGCCATGAATACTACATCTGGCTTTTAAATGAACATTCTTGACAACCTTGACCTAGGTTTTAAACTTTTCAAGCATAGTTTTGTAGCCATATGGTAGTCTAAGATTTGGCTTTTCAGTGTTATTCCTTGTTGATATATGTTGATGTGTTGTGCTTGCAAAGTATCGTGGGGTAATTTTTGTGTGTTTAGAGAGCTTTTAAGATTTGTTTGTAAAATATCACATCATGTATTTGAATTTTTTTTACTTCATCTTGAAGATTGATTTGCAAGTTTGTTGCCACCGGAATTAGTGTTAAGCGCAGCCTTCCCTGTGAAAATAGCAATCAAATTACAAGTTGCAACAAAGGTTTGGTTAGCAAAACAAACTTGCTTGGCTTTTAGCTAAAATAAGTGCCTTTGAACTATTGGCACTATTTGTTTCTTTCCCCTGAGGTTTGTTTACATGCTATATGTTCTCTATATAGGTATGCCCTTTATTTGGAAATACTTGTTCCTTATAACCTATACTGATTAAAGGGCTGCTTTGCTGCTGTACATGTCTTGCATAAACTCTAGGCTGCAGGTATTATAAGGGGACAGTGAAATGAATTCTAGTTCAAGCTGAAGAAAGCGCTGTCCCATTTGCTTCCTCTGTGTTTCCCTCAGTATATTTAACATAGCTTGCTCTGCCCTTTAATATCCTTTTCCTATCCCACTGGGGTGAGGAAGGGGAGATTTCAGTGCTTAGCATTTCAGCTTCTTGCTGACTTCTAGGCATACTTTTTCTTCTGGATATGAGGATTGCAATGGAGCTTTTATATTAAAAGAAAAAAAAGTTATAAAGATTGTATTAACTAATCCGTGACTAATTAGCCTTCAGATTCCTGATCTGTCACCTCTTTCCATTCTGGCTTAAAGTTAAGAAGTAACTGCAATGGGATTTATAATTTACACCTTCACCAGGTGACCCATCTAGCAGTGCAGCAGTTCATGTTATTAATGCAATGCAATAGTAGCATTTATTAGCAGTATGCTTTTTTCAATCTGTTTTTATTTCATTAAAATTTTCATTTGTTTTAATGAGTGATAGGAATCATTCCGATCTGAATTGCAGGTAACTGAATAGTCCTTTGGAAAAAGTGCTTGTTGACTGATGTTGTTTAAAGACTCTTGTATAAAAGCTCAACTTTAAATGTGGGCTTTCAACGTTCACTCAGTAAAGGTTCACTATTTATCTAAAATATTTTTATCTTAAATGAAATCTTGTCATTGGATTTGATTTACTGAGATTTGGAACTGAACCATTTGGGTAGTATCAACTTAATAAACATTTTTTGCACTTTGAGCTGGATCCTGAAAGTGAATTCCGCTTACATTTTCCTCACTGAGCTCTCTGGGACTTCACTGCAAGAACAGTGGGTATCACTGTCTGGAATGGTCCGTTTTCCTTCAACCATACAAAATATTTCCTGGGCATAGTCATGCTGGTACCACTGTATTCGCACTCTTATTCCAGACAGAGTCTGTACTGAAAAACCTGCTGCTTCTGTCCCCTGTCATGTGTTGGGCTGCTTCCTCCACACAGTGAGTATTCTTTGTGAGTGATGTCTTTCCAGCATTGGTTTGTGGCCAGGTGTCTCTTGGGAGTTGCTTGACTGCACAGTACCAATTCAGAGAAGTTTCTGGCTTCTGTGGTAAACTGTGGGCTCTCTTTCTCTGTCACTTTGCCTCCGGCTGTCTGCTTTCAGCAGCCATCAGACAAAGGATTTTGCTGCTCCTTTACACAGGCTTTAGGTTTTTAACTCAAAGCCAGCCTTTCTGATGTTACTTCTCCTCTTTTCAGCCTCATGCTTCTACTTGGGCTTGATTGAAGAACCACTGGGAAAACACTTCTTTTTTTCACTTTTGCCACTTGCATCTTAAAACCCTACAAGCTCCTTCAGTTACCATCTTACCATCCAGGGCCTGCTACTAGATCCCAACAAGCAGTATTTTCCTGGGAATTCCCTCTCTCCCTTCCTATCTGTCTTCTGCAAGTGCTAGATGCTTACTTCTGTTCCTTTTTTTTTTTTTTTTCCCTTTTTTTTCTTTTTTCTAGGTCTCTAGGGCTTTCGTTTGCTCTTTTAAGAGAATATCTCATGTTCAAGGAAATTTGTTTCAGGGACGTCCTACTAAGAAATCTGCTTGTGTCATGATGAATTTTTTTTTTTTTGTCGTCAGAGATCTTGTTTGTTACGATGTACCTCAAATTATAATTAGACAATTGGACGCCTAGGTTAACTTTCCTCCTCCAACAGCAAGGGAAAAAAAGCAATTAAAAGAAGTTGATCTCTTCTGGGGGGAGAGGAAGACATACCAAAGAAATATGGTTATGTGTAGTAATAATTAAAAAAATCACAAAGAAATCTTTAATTCTGTCAAAAAATGAAAGTAAGCCTTTGGAAAGCTATTTAAAAAGTGAACAAATCCGTAATTTAAAAACTTGATTCTAATCAAGGCATACTGCTTGTCAGTTTAGTTGATTAAATATACTTTCCAGGGAAGACTGATAGTTATCCCCTGTTGTATAGGGTTATTTGAGTTACCAGGCAGAGCAGAGAGATTTTTAAAAAAAGGAGGAAGGAGATTTATTTCATATGTTATGTGTTGAGCTTGACTTCTGGGGAGTGGGCAGTGGTGGAGACACTGATGGCATGAAATTGAAATACTGAACATGGGAATTTACTGCTTGCATCCTTGCGTAAGTCCTTTAGGTGACATTCAGATGTTTGTACTAAAATACACCAATTTTTTTTTTAGCTGCTGCTTCTACTGTGGATAACAGAATCAAACCCCTGAACTGCAACTTAAACTCTCTATAATGTGCTTGATATCTAGCTGTTGGTGTATGTCAGGGTTCTTGATTGGTGAGTGGGAGGAAACTAAAGACATGGGTAGAAGAAGTGGAGAGAACATTTACCGTGTACTTGGGCTTAATTTGATTTGTAGTAGTATAATGTTATATATTATTAATATTTTCAGGTGACATTGAAAATGGATATTTGAGGCTCACAGTTGTAAGCTTAAAGGATAATACGAAGCACTTGCCTCTTATTGGGACAGTTGGCTTATCCTGGGAAACAGATGTGTTTAAAGGCAATGTAAAGGTCAGTCAGGAATATTTTTGTTTCTGGAAACGCTTATCTCAAAACAGAATTATGTTGATGCATCCTAAATATGCTAATTTAAAAAAAATTATTTGTGGAAAGTGTCTGTAACTAGGAAAAAACCTCAATTCAAATATTGCAAAAAATGGTGTTTAGTTTTGAGGAAAGGAAGTTTTATCCTTTCTGTATTAGAGCCTAGATTGCATGATAGACCCATTTTGCATGTGTGATGACTGCAGTGCTTTCCACTCAGCAAAGATGCCGTGACCTTTGAATATATAAAGGGGGCTTATGAAAAAGACTGAGGGAGACTTTTTACCAACGCCTGTAGTGACAGGGCAAGGGGCAATGGTTTTAAACAGCAAGAGGGTAGATTTAGATTGGACATTAGGAAGATTTATTTTTTTTTTAATAATGAGGGTGGTGAGGCACTGGAACAGGTTGCCCAGAGTGGTTGTGGCAGCCCCCTCCCTGGAAGTGTTCAAGGCCAGGTTGGATGGGGCTTTGGGCAACCTGGTCTAGTGGAGGGTGTCCCTGCCCATGGCAGGGGGGTTGGAACTAGTTGATCTTTGAGGTCCCTTCCAAACCAAACCATTCTGTGATTCTATATGATTTACAGGTGCTTGGCAGAATTTTTTCTTCCATGAAAATAATCTTGAGTAGCACATAAAAATCTGGAAAATTAACTGTCAGAGGAAACACAGAGCTATGGATGTAGTCTTTAGTTTAGCTCTGTCCTATGTGCTTACAGCATAAGTTATACTGAATATTTGTTTCTAGGAAAAAATAAGTAACATCAATATTTTTTTTTAAACCTCTCATTTTGTGGTGAGAGATTGCACATATCAACACATAGGTGTGGGCAGAATTCAATTTGGCTTTTAAGATAAATCTCTAAAACTCTTAAAACATGTGAAGACCAAATAAAATAAGCCACAGCAGCAGAACATGCCACTACTTTGAATTTATTTGAATTTTGTCCACTAGTCTAAGGAAAAAAAAAAAAAGGATTTTTTTGGCACTTCTGGGTATTTTTTATAAAAAATTAATTGCTGAAGTACAGATAGTGGGAAATACATGGGAAGGAAAAAAAAACCCAACACTCAAGGCCACCCTGCTTTACGTATCATAATTGGCCTTTGATATGCAAGATGTCGGACCAGAAAATAGTAATTCTTTCTTATTTCAAGTAAATTTATACCTCATATAAATTATTAAATGATCATCAGAGTTGGTTTGAATTTTGTATTTTCAGTATAGTCTACAGTAACGTACTTATGAAAACTGTATGTATCACATTACCTCTTAGGTCTGTGCCATCTGCTCTGTATTGTTTGATTGAAATACAGTAGTAGTGAAAGAAATGTTAAAGCAATGGAAGCACATCTCTGTAGTACAGTGAAATAAAGCATTCCAAATTAATTTTTTTGGCATGGAGTATGCGATGTTGATTTGTTTCTGCTTTTGGAGCATATGATACTCCTGGAAGTAATGCATATATGTAGCGTAATTAAGATAATCTGATTCATTTAGTGATTCAGAACTCACGAGAGTAGGTAAGAGCTGATATTAACAATGACACGCAACCCATATGCTTTTAAGGCACCTGTGAAACCATCAGTTTGCAAGTGCCCAAGAGTTGGCATCCTGACTTTAGCATTACAAAATGATGTAATTGTGTAGTGTTGTAAAGAAATATTTTCAAGAATTTTTAAAAGGAAGAATTCTTTGGAGGATAGAAAGATATATTAATATTACCTTTTTTGGGAACTGAAGCTTGCAGCCATTCAAAGAGTGCTGTATACCTTCCATTTGTAGCTGGCATACAAGGGTAATTGTTGTGTGTGTACACTGCCTTGAGGGTGGTCTCTTTGAGTATCTTTGCAAACATTACTGCATTCTCACAGGTTAAGCACCTGAGCTTAAATTTAAGTTTCTTTCTCATATTGAAATTACTATCTTTGTTTGAATGGTAAGGTAACTAATAATTGAGAAACAGAGTTTAAAGGCATAAAAAATGTTCGAGAAATAATATCTGATTAGGTTGGCAGTGCAACCTTCTGTAGCACAGTTGGTGATGTCTGTAGGTTGCAGTTTTGATTTCTGTGGGAAACCTCTAAATAAGTGTTTGTTGCTTTGCAGTAGTGGGTGGAGCACTATCAATTATATTTTGAGTTTTTAGCCTTCGTACCAAAAATTGCTCTCTGAACCCTTGATATTTCTCCTAAAATCAGGGACAGATTTACTAACTGTGCCATGGCATAGGGAAATAATCTCTTGTGCTTGTGTTTGTAGGACTGCTATGTGATGGATGTTACTCTCTTGGATGAAACTGGAAAGCCCTTCTGGTGTTTCAGTGCCCCAGTCTACATGGAACTGTCTTCCAATGCATCCAGCCTTTATGACTACATGGGTCATATCTATACCACAGACTATGCAGATTCAGAGGGTAAAGTCTGTGTTGAGTTGGTGTGGTTGGAAGAAACCAAGGAGTATTTTATAGTCCATTTGGTGCTTTATATAAGCACCAAAAAGGTAAATAACTGGTATGGAACAAATTACTGACTGAATTGGGTCACTAATTTCCTTGCTTTAAAGAATCAAAAAACCAAAAAACACACTAAACTTTTGATGCTTAAAATTGATACCAATGTGCAAGACTGTTCCTGCAAGTTTTGTGCCTTTTAGTTTTTCAGTAACAAGTGCAATTGCATAGTAGTTTTAATTGGCATTGGAGAGATTGAAGAGACATGTTGATATAAATGAATGTTTTTCTGCTCTGAACATCACATGGTTAGTCTGTTTCTGCTACTGGGTATATTGAAATTATTTTTAGGAATATTTATCAATACTTGTTAGTATGGTTAATGAATTACTTCTTGTGAGAGCCATACTGTGAAGATGCTTTACTTTATGTAAGCTACACTGTTTTTGAGAACATTGACTTTTATGCCTAGTAGTAAAACAGCATGTGTGCTGTTCTCTTCAGATTTGTTAGTATGCTATTGGTAAATAACAGGTTTTAACAGGTTTTGTTAAATGTAGAAATACTTTTTTCCAGAAAATACTTCACTTAAATGTATTCTAGTAGAGAATTTAAAAGGTAGACAGGAAGTCACAGATCTGAACAATATGGCAGTTAAGGTATTTGTTAAGAAAATCCCATATAATATCTATTATGAAATTTCTTTAAATGCCTGTTTGTTCTGTTTTCCCATGTTCTAACCTTTTGTCTGGTTTGAGTGTAGATACTTGCCTCATGTATTGGTCTATGAATAAGTGTTCCAGTTATCAGCACAGCTGAGCTGATATCTGCTCTTAATGATTGTACGTAACATTCAGTTGTTTTGGAAGCAATGCATATCTGATACCATTTATCTAACAGTAAGTATTCATATAAAAATTGAATGTATGTGCCTGATCTTTCAGGTCCCTTGAAGTAACTTTAGGACCAAATCGTTTACTCCTTGTATAAAAAAAATGAAATAACATGATATTGGGACTCCAGTATCATAGCCTGTTACAGACCACAGCAAATTTGTGTAGCTTCACAGTACTCTGTTAAGAAAAAAACACAATTGTATTGTTGACTTCTGTGACTTTATTATGGTAGTGATGTCCTTAAAAATAATTTCTCTCTTTATTCATTTAAGTACATTAATTGGTTCATGCAAGCAATGTTTATGTGTAAGCACTTGTGCTCTATACTACAGTGATAGGGTCGTTTCTTAATGTAACTTTCAAAGAAAATAAAGTTAAGGCTGATACAGTACTAGTTTGACTTGTATAACCTTGCATAATGAGGAAATGGAAATATTTCTGTGTTTGGTGGTTAGCCAGTGTAACAAGCATGATCAGCTGCATTCTGTCTCCTTTCTTATTGCCTGCTGCTGATGACTGGGATCCCTTTAAGTAATGTAAAGGTTTTAACAAGTGGACTGGGAGTGATGAATGCCAGAACAACAGACGCTGAAATTCATGCTGCATAGAGAAGTGACCAGTCAAGATTTTCTTTTGCCTGAAGTTAGACTTTAAGGCACCACCTTTAGCAAGGAAGTGGTAGCTCAGTCCCAACGTCCTCTCAGTTGTTGGCCTCACTGCTAAGCCAGTAAATGAAGATGTAGAATTATTCCGGCTGCATTGATCCTTTGAGATGTGTACGTATGTTCTCTGACCTGCTGTGAAGCTGCTGAAGTCAGCGGGCACTTGGAGCCATAAAGTAGTAGGAGTTCTGTCACTGCTCATTCTCACTGATTTTTGTTGCATTTCCAATGTGTTTTTCTTAAAAAAGAAAAAGTAAAATACTTCCTTTTCTTTAAAAAACAATTTCAATTTCTGAAGGCATTTGACTGTTTTCTATAATTTAATGTTTTATAGAAAATTCTGGTGTCGCTATTGGAAATGAAACGAGAGTATACTGTGCCTACCCTTAGAATACTCCAGTCTACTAGCCTGAAAGTTTACTAACTAAATTAATGAGGAAGTGGGTAAGTCTTCAGCAGCACAGTCAACCTAAAAAGTGATAAAAAGCACAGCAGAGTTTCCTCAGGCTAACTTATTTCTGCTGTTCATAAACCAGAATGTGTATATGTAGCAGACCCAAGCAAATGGTGGTTCTGAGATCGTCAAAAATGGACGTAACTGTTGCAGAGCAGTTCTTGCATATCTTCACTGAAGTAACAGGACCATGATCTTGTCCTTTCTGAAGATATGAAGACTAAGAATCCATTTTTACCTCTTCAGATAGGCCTAAGATTGACCTAAACCTGCTGTAGTACTATGCCATGTGTACCCTGCTTTAATTTCAGCTGACAGTTGCTTTTAACTTGCACAGCAGAAGCAAATTCAGTAGTTACCACCTGTATGATCAAACCTGGAAAATTAAGCATGGCTTCACTCAAACTTCCATTTCTTCAACTCTTTCTCATTTCTTCAAATCTTCCTTTCTTTGTACAAGTGAGGACGTACACTGAACCTCCACAAAGAAAAAGGATGACACTAGGTAACTGCGCTGGTCCTTTTCATGAAAGAAAATAGCATCTGTTCCAAATGCCTACATGTTTTGATAAAATCTTTGGCTAATCTTCTGTTAAGTCCCTTCTTATATACCTGGTGCAAAAGGCAGTAGGATGAGTTGGGTGTCCCAGTCTTGCTGTATAAAAGACAATTTTTAGAACAAACAGGAAAAAGGGAGGCACCAGTTGAAATCTGATCATCAAAATACGCAACTGGTCGTGACACTAAGCCTTCCACCACATTTTTCTCTTAGTGCCTCAGGATTTCTTGCAGCTGCTTTTAATGATTTTGTTAGTATTCCATACTGAAGACAGGACAATGTCTTTGTTGTAATTGCATCGTTTATCCAAGTAGTACGACAATTTCTGTGAGAGAAAGTATAAGCACTTGTAAATGGAAAAAAAAATTAAAAAGTTAAAGATTTTACTTGTATTTATGTGCACTTCAGGGACCAACTCATCCAAGTAAAAAGACAGTAACCACCACCAAGTCTTAAATGCGTATGTTTAAGTACTCTGCAACAGATAGAATTGAAATATTTTTAAACGGGTGATTTACCTCGTAGGCAAGCATAAAAACAGTACTTATGTTTATTTTATTGCAAATATAATAGTGCTCATTTGACATAATGAGTTTGAATTGCATTGAAAAGGAATTGGTTAGTATGAAAGAGTGATTTAATGAAAGAGCTTTTATGAGATTATTCCAACAGTGGAGGAGTTGTCTTTTTAATAGAACTACATCTAAATGTTAATCCTGCCATTTGTCATTGTTTTGCCAGATGTCTGCTGTGTACCTAAATGCTTCCATGTTCTGTGTTCTTGATTTATTTTTTTTTTTTCCAAAGGGATACTTGTAAATGGAAAATGTCTTCATTGAACAATTCATTAATATTCTTGGGCACTTAATGTGATCTTCTGTTGTTACAAGCTGGAACTGTGTTCCTTTATATCATCAGAAGAATTGCCCTTAATTTTAACACTGCCGCTCTGGAGTCATTGCTATTTACTGTGATTGACTTCCTTTAGGGGGGAGCCAACAGCAGCTGTGTATTTCTGAAGTCTTTGTAGTGTAGGTTAGTAATCATGGCATTTTTCTTCAAACTGGCCTTTCAGGTGTTTCGGTTTTTCTTCCCATCTTTTTGTAATTTCTGTTAGAGAACTAGCTCTGCTTTCATAATGCATTTCTGTTCCAATGCGCTTTTGATACACGTGATTGAATACAGAAGGAAGTTGTATGGTGGATAGCCTCATCGCAGATACTTTTTTTTCCTGCCTGGCCTCTCTCTCCCTATTTAGCAGGCATGTTTTGATTTGCATTCATCCGTTAGATATTTAGTTATGGTCTTGATTTCATTGAAACTGTTGTCGTATGCTTGCTTTTTGAGACAAGTACTGTCATCTTTTTTTTTTAATTCAGCTGCATGCCTGTCTGATGCTAGTGACTGAGTACTTAGCAAAAATATATGCATAGTGTAATAAGGATACAGTGAGCTGAAATGGATTAATACTGTTTCAGATGAAGAATCCAGACAAGTGATCAAGTTATATATCTTAAGTATATCTTAATGAGTTACTGTCCACCAACAGTCATTTTATTATAGCCTACCTGGTATTTACCAGGTGTTCCAACACATTCAAACAATTAGATGGAGATTTAGGTGAAAGCGTTTGATCTTCTGCCTGTCTGGCATATTACTACAGCTCAGCTGATACACAGTGACTCACTAAGTTGTGATAACTGAATCTGAGCTCAAATATAACTACATTAGAAACTGCACAGAGAAATTCTGTTTTGAGAAACTGCACAGAAAAAACTGTTTTGAGAAATTAAAATGAGAACAAGCGATGGGTTTTAATCCCTGCTTGTGTCTAGTGGGTTGGAAGGGCATTAATATGAAAAGTTGAATTCTGTCATTGTTTCCTGTCTTTTGCTTCCACCATAAATCAGAATGGGAAATGATGGCAACACGGATAACTGTTGAGTTGTGTGTGGTGAGGAAAGGTTTATTGCACTGAAATTCACAAGCATTGCTTATTCGGTTCTTACTTCAAATTTTAAACCATTTAGGAGCCTTTCTCACACTGTGCCTCTTTTGAAATGCCTGTGAAAAAGGAGTAATGTTACTTTGTATTAATGCTACTTCAGTTGTGGAAGTGTTTATTATAAAATTGAAAACTGTAATGGTTTTAGACACACCAAAGAAAACTGAAATGGGAGTTATTCTTTCTAGGTTTAACTTATTATCTCTTTTTGAAGAGAGATGAACCTTTTGAAGGGAAATGCACTTACAAGTCAGATACTGATCATGTATTAGTAGGTAGAATTACTTTTGTTCTACATACAGACCACTTGGAATGCATGTTAATAATTTTTTCTCTCCCAAATCAGTCATGCACGAAGTTAAATTCAGCTGTCTCGATGAAATCTTATCCAAAAAATGCAAGGTAGGGAAGAATGTGTAATAGGTAGGCAATGTCCTGTTTATTCACTGAAATACCATAAATCAGTCTGCAGGGATTGGAAAGTATTTAACTGTTAAACAAAAA